TTCGTTTCCTTTTTCCACCACCCTTACCTTGTGCACTTGCTGTAGCTGGACGGTAACCGGCGTTTTAGTTGTCTTGTCCAGGATATGCTGGTGGTGATTCCTGGGCTCGCGATGCTATACATATCTGTGTTTAACACTTCCTTCCTTGTCGGCTCCTGACACCAGATCCTGAAGGCTTCCCTTGGTTCGCTCTCCTGCCTCCATGTGAACTAGTCTCGTAGCCCCCACTGATTTTTTTCCTTGAAGCTTCCTTGTCCACTCCTCTGGAATTGATATGAGAAGGTCTTTCAAATTCTCCATGGAATCTCCAGCAGTCTATGACTGCCCTTCAGTTCCGTTCCGAGTTCCCTGGCTCTCTTCCACCTCTGCTTATCCTCCACCCACAGATGCTTGATCGGCATACCCCATGCTCCACGCTCCCTTGCTGTAAGGGTGGGCGGTTTTCGCTGTATGTCTCTGATTCTTGGATTATAAAAGAGGGGTTGGCGTAGATCACGGCCCGCTGACTCTTGCCGGGAAGATGTCCGTCCACAACTTAAAAAGTTTACCCCAGTAGGAGCCCTCCGTTGAAACTTCAACGCCGCATGCTGGAGCTTCTTCCCCTCTGCCTACCTTAGCCCAATTTGCTGCACATTATCCAAAACACTCCTGAGTCCTGACATGTTGGCTGGGGTGCTATGTTTGGCCATTTGTCTGATTCGTTCCAGTGCCAACGGTACCCAGGGCATCTTCAGAGGGGTGATCATCTCAATCACCCACTTTGTTTGCAACACTTTTAGCTGTTGCTCTGGGTCTAGGATGCCCAATCCCCCTTGCTCTTTCGTGCGGATGACGTGTTTCCACGCCGCCTTTGAAATGAAGTGGGGTTTCGTTGGATTGGATGTCCAGAGGTAGGCTGCAGCTCTTCTTCTCAGCGTCACTGCCTCCTGGGCTGGTGGGCTCCAAATTGTTCCAGCATACCACAGCATCGAGAATATGCAAGCGTTCAAGATAAGTGCCCTGCCAAACAGTGATGTGTAGATCGTGGACCACGCTCCCAATTTTGCTAAGATCTTGGTCATCACCTCTGCAGCCATAGACTGATCGGCCCCTGCTTCTGTAGTCTCGACTCCCAAATATCTCAAGGGCACTTGGGCTGTCATCCATTGTACCCCCTCCGGGTTAATGGCGGAGTAAAAGAGAAACCTCGGAGGGCCATCATCAGAAGCAGGGAGGGAACATGGAATGGGATGAAGGAAAGGGGGAGGAAGGGGGGAGGAAGGGGGAGGAAGGGCTCAGGCACAGATGCAGGCCCAGGCCCCTCCTTCAAGAGGAAGGCACAAACCGAGGATTCGGAGGGGTCAGAACAGCAGGAACAGCAGGGGAAGCGACCGCTGTCGGGGTTGGGGCGCAGCACAGCGAAGGGAGTCAAGCGTCCCACTGAATCAACCAGCAGGGAGGTGAAACGGAACAACAAGCAGGAATGGAACCCCGTAGCCCCGAGGGAGAATCAATGGAAACGTCACAGGGAGAAGCCCCAACTGGGAATGACACAGGGGCTACGGAAAACAGTAAGAGGTCCATGCGAAGCCACGGGCCAATGACGGAGGAGGAGATGAAGGACGCAGAGGAGGATCAGGCCAACTATAGCAGGGGGGACTCAGATTCAGAGGGATCAGCGGAGGAGGAAGACTGGGAAGAAGAACAGGATGAGGAGGAGGATACAATGGAACGCTGGGTACAATTCGTGGAAGGACTGCAATGGGAACGCGAAATCGAATGTGAAGTTCGACTGGATCACCACAAGCACCTGAGGAATCTGCAGCAGGCCACGCAAGCAGGGGCGGATATCTCAATGCACATGAAAGGCTCTTCCCAGCAAAAACGAAATCCACGATGAGGAGGAGGAATACAACAAATGTTTTCAGTGGCGAAAGACCTACCATCATCAGGACAGAAAGAATTCCAATAGAAAAAACGTAAAGGGAAGACAGCGAACGATCAGCAAAGCAAGGGAGAACAAGGTCAAAGTTCATAAGACACGCAGATGGGTGGGGAGGAACACACGGAGCAATCCGAAGAAGAGGCAGAGGGATCCAAGGAGGACATCGACAGACGGCAATCCTAGAGGCGCACGTCAATATCTTGAAGGACCAGAATCGGGAGTTCGAGGAGGCAACAATAAACCTGCAAAAAATTGTGCAAGGGCAGCAGAGAGAGAGATAGAGGCAGCAGCAAGGTTGGACGTGAGGGGTGGAGCACAGAGAAGAGTAATGCTCCCATGCCACTGGAATGAGAAACATGCGGACTGGGGGGTAGTGGTCCACCGGTCATTCCAGCTTACAAACACAGAAGTGAGCAACTGCTCAGCAACGGACCTCCAGAACTTGATAGCGAAGGACGTCCCAACTCGGGCGTACATGCTGGGAAATAGAATGGAAGCCGTAATGGACGAATTTGACACTGGAGGGTAGGATCAGATGGTGGACTTTAGACCGATCCTGTTGCACTTACAGGCCACAGCAGAGATGAAGGGGGATCTCATATGGATGCCATGGAAGGTGGTTGAAATGATACGCTATGGTTTATTGGGAGGGGAAGTAGCGGCAGAATGGGCGATGAGATGCGCGTCGATAGCAGTAAAAGTGGAGGCCTTCTCGTGGAAGCCAGAGTTTTGGGAGAAAAGAATTGTGGCGGGATCGACGAGGATAGATCTGGCCTCGCTCGGGTCTTAGATCTCTGAACCAGAGGAAAAGCGTGACGTATCCCTGACTCACCCCCGTGGAGAATTGAGAGGAAGAGGGAGGGGAACGAAGACAAGGGAAAGGAAGGAGAAGGGAGCGAGTAAGCGAGAGAGCCCCTGAGCTCAAAATAACATCGTGGAACGTAAACTGGTTGGCGCTCATCCTAGATAACGAGGACAAGT